GAAATTACCATTGGGGAGCACACAATAAACTAGAAGTGCTTGTTGAAATGCCTGGGAGTGATGGTCGACGACCGGTTGGCTTCAATAGCCACCTAGAATACGCCTACGAATCATACCGAACATCTCGGGACGGCTCCTGGCTAGTGTATTTACGTTGATTCTGAGATATGGAGGTTCAGCCTTGGTTGCAGCGCTGAAAACCAAGTGGAATTTAAGGAAACCGAACAGTACGTACCGGCTCAACAAACCGTACGCAAACTTTTCGAGACATTTGGTGTACCCTTTGTTGTATGAATAGTAAAAATTTATCAGTAATTCCATTAATAGTGGATAAATAATGGTTAAACTTAATTTCAGATGGGGCTGACAAAAACCGGGAAAGTACTGTATTCAAAATATGAAAATTATCCCAGAATCTTTAATTTTTCTCCAAATGTTAAGTCCGAGACGCATGCAAAATATTCTACACGGCAAATAAATTTGGCTCATATGTGAGTAGATTTTTTTCTCAAATATGAGCAAATATCACTTATTTTTGAATGACATTCATTCATATATGAGTGACATTTATGCATCTTTGTGTAAAAATTTACTCATTCTTGTGACCTACGTTTTTGTGAATTTAAGTGAACTTGACTCAAATATGAGTTAGATCAATTTGCCGTGTGCATTCTCGATTTTTCCAACTTGGAAAATTTTCCTCGATCCAGAATAATGAGATTTCTTCTTGGACCGCTATCTAGAAAAATTGGAGCTATAAAAATTTGAAGTGTTTCAAAAGTTTCTATATCCGAGGTCTTCAAAATTGATTGTCTAAAAATTGTCAACATTTGTCTTGTTATTATTACCTATTTGATTACCTTATTATGTTTACCTTATTGATTACCTTATAAGGCATAAGGATGATGCAAATAATATTTCCATTTTATGTCCGACATCACTCAAATAGGTCGAGGAGGGGCAAATATTAAATAACTAAAAAGAAATAAATTTACGTATAAGCAACTCAATTAAAAATAAAAAAAAATATTTTGTGTACTTTTAGTATAAAGCGTAGAGTTGAAAACGATTTTAAAAAGAGCAAAATTTTCAAATTTTGGATGACATAAAACAAAAATCAAATCTGCATTAGTCATAATCATGGTGACCAGCAAATCCCAATTTCGTCCCGGGGTTTTCCCGGAGTTTTGGTGATTTTCCCGGTTGTTTTGAGATCGAAGAATTCATCCTAAGATTAGTTTCGAAAATACTTACTGAAACTTCATTACATTACTCCTTGCATTCTATTTAGTATTAGTTTGAATATTCCTTATAATTTTGTCATACAATTCTGCTCATAATTATCTTGGAGCTCTCCACTAAATTCTTCTGAAAATTCGCTTGGAATTCTCCTCAGAACACCCTTGAAATTCTTCTCGAGATGCTCTTGGAATTGAACTCGGAATTCTTATCAAACTCATCTCAGAATTCCTATGGAATTGTTCCCTAAAAGTTCGATTCCCTTGGTATTTATCGTGAGATCCTTGAAACTATCTATAGATTTCACTTGATATAATCTTTAAATTTTCTACGAATATCCTTCGAATTGTCATCACAATTCTTCTAAGAACCTATTTTGAATATTCATTTGAAATAGACCTGGAATCCGCTTCACAATCGCCATGAATTTTCCAAAACAACTACCTAAAGATTGTACTCTGAACGTCTGAAGTCTCACAAATGACTGGGAGTTCTCTCTTAGAGTTCTTAAAAAAGATCTATTGGTAATTTTCTCTAAAAAACATTGTTGTTATCCTTAAATCCCTTCAAAATTCTCATGATATTTAGTTCTTTAAAGAGACTGTATCCTGAAAACATTTTCCAGTCCAGGGGTCTTGCAATTGTTTAAAGGTCCAGAATCTTATTTTTCTCGGTTTGTCATCGAAATTCACGGGCTTTTCCCGATTTTTTCCCGGCGATTTCGAATTCGCGCCTTTTGCCCGGTTTTCCTGAATTCCTGGTTCACTGTAAAATTTATGGGTTAGGTTAACCATTATTTGTTTTATTTTAAAGGAGCATAAAAAATGCTCACGATGGGTTGTGATTGTGAGTTTATAAAATTTCTCGAAGTGGGTCGCAGTCAACGAAATATTGTAACCACTTTTTTCCGATCAATAAATGTCACTATTAGTCACTTTTTATTGCTTTAAAGTCACTAATTGGTTATTTTAGTCACTAAAGTCACTACTGTTATATTACATATCCACACTACCAGCCCTGCGCTAATCGCAAACCCACAATGATCGCGCAAGTAACAATTGACCAGCCTTTTGACTTTAACTCTGATTGACTGTGGTTTTATGACGGTTTTATAATTTAATAAATCATATTTCCCCCTGATGGAAAATTTTAAAACCAACCGATTCAGGAATGTAACTAGCTTTTGATGATGGAGAACCCGAGGTACTTGAAATTTCAATAAATCATCATTTCGGACACGGCGTGAAGCATGAAATATTGTCAATGGCGTTTGCGTCACGTTCTGATTAATAACAGACCAGCCTTGTCCAGGTACAGTGAAACCTCCGTTTATGAAGTCTTGTTTTTACGCAGTATTCAGTTTACGTCCCTCTTTTTACGAATTAAATGCCCAATAACGAGTTTTTTTTGGTGCGATTCTGGGAAGTGGGAAATACCCCACAATACGGAAATTTTTGGAATCGATGTGACGTGTATAGAGGCCGGAACTCGATTTCTGACGCCATTTTGAAATGGCGGCCTCCGGTTCGAGAAAAACATGGAAATTCTTTCAAATACCCCACAATATGGGTATTTTTGGAATCGCAGTGACGTGCAGGAACCGGAAATAAATGTTTGTCGCCGTTTTTATATTCAAGATGGCGGTTGTAGAAAAACTAGGAAATACTGTTAAAACACCGTCAATATGGGTATTTTTTGGAATCGTGGTGTCGTGTAGAGACAAGAAATCCATGTCTGGCGCCATTTTTAAAATCCAAGATGGTACCATCCAGCTACAGAAAACAGAACAAAAAGTGTCAAATACCCCACAATATAGGTATTTTTGGAATCGGGATAACATGTAGGGACCGGAAATCGTTGTCTGACGCCATTTTGATTGAGAGGGTGGCTTCCGATTACAGAAAAACTGGGAGTTACTGTCAAATACCCCACAATATGGGTATTTTTGGAATCGCAGTGACGTGCAGGAGCCGGAAATCCATGTTTGACGCCATTTTGATATTCAAGATGGCGGCATCCGGTTGTTGAAAAACTAGGGAATACTGTTCAAACCCCACATGCATGTCTGACTCCATTTTGAAATCAAAGATGGCGGCTTCCGGTACAGAAAAAATGAAAAATACTGTCAAATACTCCACAATATGGGTATTTTTGGCATATTGAAATGTAATATGGCGTCTTCCAGCTACAGAAAACAGAAAAAAAGGTGTCAAATACCCCATAATATTAGGTATTTGTGGAATCGGGATAACATGTAGGGAACGGAAAACGTTGTCTGGCGCCATTTTGAAAACCCAGTATTTCTGTTTATTTCTCGGTGGCGTTTCCTTAACATCAATCTACCTGTGCACCAACTCTCAAAACATAAACAATTATCAAAATATTGCTTGCAATGGATAGATATCGAGTAAACTAGAATATTAAGCGTATTTTTCAACCGATTCGAGTATGAATATGGCATTAAATCTGGTTTTGAAAATTGGTGCACAGGTAAAAAGTGAGGTTACGGGACGCCACTGGTATTTCTGGAAACAGGTTGATGTGTATCTATAAGAAATCCATGTCTGACGCCATTTTGAAATCCAAGATGGGAAAAGTTGTTAGTCTGCGGGAGTTTGAGTGCCTACTGAACCATAGCACCGATTTCTTTTGACGAAAGAAAGCACTCGCTGAGTTCCGAATGGATGATCTTCCGTAGCTGATGATTGACCATTTGCGTCAGAAATTGAGCTGCTCGTGCAGTTTGTGCAAATTACATCTTGAATCTCGGCGTTGGTGTCAACCCAGAACCGGGCAATCGAATCCAGGTCCATATGGTTGTTGACCGGATCAGCACCGAAGTATAAATACAACACGAAACAGCACCATTTCATTTAAACAGTTAATCACAGGTAATCACTGGCATTTAGAATCGCGGAAAATGTGCTCCAATTACGGGACAAACTATTATACATACATACATACATACATACATCATACATACTCAATATCGAAAACTAATAGCACCATCAGGTAGAGGATTTATTGCTCTGTCATTTGGTATAGTATGTTTACGAGTTTGAGCTTTTATTCGTGAGAAATCGGCAAATACAACAACTATTTGCTCAGCCTCAGCCTACATGGCTGGAGTGGCCTGGGTATTTGCCAAAGTATTCCTCCCCCCTCAAATCCGGCCCTGATGATAAACCAACTTGACACGATACGATAAATTGCATAAGTTGTACACGCAACCCAAAATGTATTACATTGAATGTCAGTTGCAATTCTTATCATTCTCTACTAATACACTCCTAATTGGATGATATAGGTTGACCTTGCAGACGATGTAATGATTTTTTATCTTTTTCATTTCATGTTCTGTCTACGCTTTCGACTATACAACAAGCATTCATTTTAACATTTTTTTTATAACATTGACGACGCACACACTTGCCACGATTCGCTCCAATTCCCGTTCAGCAGAACAAGCATACGAAATCGAGTATGAGATGAAATAAGCGCTTCTTATTCGCTTTAGCCTATCCATATTCCGAATCATGGAGAGAGCAGTAGAGAAAGCACAGGTCTGATTATCACATCGTTCTTGTTTCTAGTTCAGTTAGAAACTCCATTTTTTTTTCGATTTAATTAATTTCACTCACTAATACGCTCCTAATTTTTCGGTCCCCATTTTCTTACATTAGATCACAGCTCGGTATATCATGCAGTATCCACTAACATCCTGCGATGATAAATCCCTCTGCAAGCAAATCTTACATCCCCCGGTTAGGTGTACAAATTAGCAAAATTGACGAAAAGACGGTTGAATCTCAAGACACTAAAAAATGCACTGTCATTCTAAGTCATCGCATAACGAAACCACAAGGAAGGAAGGAAACAAAGCTTGTGTTTGAATTTTATATTTGGCATCGGCTCCATCACCACCCCAGTCTCCTATTTAGTCTACCGCCGGCTGCAGTATCATCACATAAGTAGAACGATGAAATTTTTAAAAATAAACATGCACTCGATCCATGTTACAACACTGGGGATATATTTCACTACGATCGGGCAACTGGTGCCGTTCAACCCGAAATAGAACGCAAGGGTCAAAGTTCTCCATCAATCAGGCACGATTGAAGAATTCTCCAAAGAAGTTCCTGATTTGGGAAAATATCCCGGTGGTCATGGCTTCGCTTCCGGTCGTCGTAGGGGCAGTATTCCCGAACACGTAGGGAACTCCATCGACGATGTTGATCGTCAAGTTGGCTACATCACCCGGCGGTAGGCGAATGATTTGGTTCCCCACCTGGATGAACGATTCTCTTGTTTGTGAACGTACGTAGTCCGAAAGTTCAGTCTGCTGAGCGGCCGCCGACCGACGACCACGGGTGATGGTCAAGCCGTTGATTACGGTTCCGTTGTCCGTCATGGCACTGGTATTGAGTCGATTTCCGATGGCAATGCTAGCCATTATCGGACGAAGGGTCGTTGAGGAACTGCTGGAACTGGCCGAATTGCTGTTGCTGCTGCTGCTGCTGCTACTTCCGCTGGTGCTAGTTGTTGGGAGTAGGTAGTTCCATGGGAACCAGAAGATTGGCACTCCCAGAGTTGAGGGGAGCTGGAAGAAGGGTGGGAGGTTAGGATTTGTATGGCTTTATGCTTGAAATGAAGCAGCTACCAGAGCTAGTGTCAGTCCAATGAGAGCACAAAACTTAACGGAAATCATTCTGCAAGCGAACTGCAACTTATTCCGATGGGGAGGTTTAATTTTATAGAAGATGCTGATCTTTGCTAGGCGAGTTTGGGTAAATATTGGATCAACTGTTGCCAGTGGCGGGGTAATTGAAATTTCAAGGAAATTGATCAGTGAGTGCAATAAATGAATAATGAATGGTGGATGGACCATCACTTGGGGTAGATTTGCACTTTAGCGGTATTTTATTGGGCCTCTATTAGCTCAGTCCGTAAATGCGCAGCTACAAAGCTAGACCATGCTGGAAGTGGCTGGGTTCGATTCTCGGTCCAATCAATATACTAATGTAAAAATGGTACAGGCATCGAACGCTCCCAATTTATAACTGTGAAAGTGTATCTAAAACACTAAGTTGAGAGCACAAGTAATAAATAAGCTTGAAATGTGAAAAAGAAGAAGAAGAAAAAGACATATTTTGTTCGCAGTTTGTAGTTTTCAAATTTTGTTGTTATTATTTCTGTATCATTAATTTTTGCAATATCCACTTTTCTGTTTTCCGAACTTCAATTTTCAATTGTTAACTTTCTATTTTCAGTTTATTATTTTCATTTCTTGATAGCAAATTTATATTTTCATTCTTCCAATTCTACAAAATGATGTCCACATAAAACATCCATAATCAAATCCAGGGCCTGACTAGAAACAGTGTCTATCGGTTTGCAGGCTGTGACATAATTTCTTCTCTGTTGCTCCCTCCATGCGTGTGTGTGTGTGTGTGTGTTTGTCTGAGCGAATATGCTAGTTTAATGACAAGGCTCAGAGCATTGTTATTATGCTACAACGATTGTTTGCTAGCCTCTACCTACAAGCAGACCGGCCATCGTGGAAGTGCGGGGCATGTGAGCTCAATGAAAGTAAACTGCATTAAATTACACCCGATAGATACGATGCTTACAATAGATGAGACCCATTCCATACGAGTGTGGTGTGTCGTAGGGTTGCTCCTGAAATCGCATTTAATCCAAAGCGTTGCATTGCCAGCACAGACCACCCCAGACCGCGGCACTGGGCTCTAACTCTTTTAGTAGTAATTTTACGAGCTGTTAGCTCTGCAATTGCAACATACTGGACCACTCCCTCAAGCAGCGCACTCCTACTCCTACGAATTGACTCATTCGTTTCGTTTACTGCATGACAGCAAATATGCCAGTACAAAAAAATTCAATCGCAACCGCAACCATTTCGTGACGGTGAATTACGCGCTCCATAGCTTATTACAAGCAAACCAAACGAACCACGCACAGGCTTGATGGCTTGAATTGGTAAATTGGAGCTCTGGATCTTATGCTTCGCGTGGGGATTACAAGAGAATGCGTTCCAAAGATGCATTAGCTAAACTGCAACAATGATGGAGAGGTCGTTTAGCTTTCGAATTGTTTGTCGCCAATTTGGAATGAAATCGTTATACAACGGAAAAGCGAGAGAGACAGACGGAGAGAGAGCTGCCGTCATTTACCAGTGATTGGTCATCATCGTTAACTGTCGCGTTTGCTGATAAATATGTCCATTTCGATTGATTGGTTTCCCTAGCAGGAGAAAATAACTTATTAATACCAAATAACAGGTATGAAAATAGCACAATTGGCTGCCTAAATATGGTATTGACGAGCCGGACATAAGAGGTTAGATACCTCAAAAATGTTCGACGAAAAACGAACTAATAAATAATGTAGTTATTCAGCCAGTCCATAGCAAAACGATATAGTGGTTCTCAGAATTTCGTAAACATTTCTAGATAGAGCTGGAATTAGGGCGTAACAACTTTTGTAAACAATGACTTCTCTCGATTATTTCTAGGAATTCAAGGCGCACCCACGCAAACCAAAATAACCATCGGGTATGGGAAGACTTCATCTACCTGATGGTGATATTGATTTTCTTGGGCGAGTCTTGGGTTTCTAGAAATCATCGAGAGAAGTCATTATTTACAAAAGCTGTTACGCCCTAATTCCAGCTCTATCTAGATTTGTAGTTTTCTTTCTTATCTCAAAATATTTGGCACGTTTTTTTGTCATCACGGTGACCATTTCCATGTAAAGGTGGTCCAATAAATCATTTTTTTTCAAAAATTCATAACTTTTAAACAACTGGGCCGATTTCAAAGATCAAAATATCAAATGAAAGGTAATTAAAAAATACTTTTTAGGTAAAATAAAATAACATAAAAATGGGATTTTGTATTGAGAAACATTGATTATATTTGTTTTTTTTTATGGTTTGTAGACAGAGGGTGCAAAATGTTTATATATTTTTCATTAAAATTTAGACATCGTAGAAATTGAGTAAACTTAGTAAAAATTCTGAGAACTTCATAGATCTTCCGAAAAAATCATAGAAACAAGGAACTTGGAAAAGTTCTGAAAACTGCGTAGAAGTGAAAAATTTATTTTAGTTTGAGGTGCTTCGTAGAAGTTAAGGGAACATTATTTTATTTCAGGGAAGCTAATTATTGTCAGGATTTCTACTCATTTTTCTGGGTAAAATTACCTGAGTTTTCCAAGTTAGTCCAAGATCTAAAAATATCCAATGTCTTGAAGTTTCGTATTCCATGTAAAAGTTCAGGATATTGAAAATATTCAAAGTGCCAACATTAAGTAAACAAATAATTGATTTATTTCAATTGCGTTCAAGTTCAATGCAGTTCCATCAACTTTACAACAATTGTAGGAACTTTGGAGAACCTCTGAGGAATGAAAGGAAATGCTGAGAATGTCAGTGAAGCTCTATAAACAAACTGTAGGAACGTAAGGAAAGTTAACACGCTGGAAATATGGGAAACTTACTAGAAGCTGTAAGAACCTCAAAGCGGTTCTTTTATGAAGTTCCTAGAATTTCAAAGAACTTCATGTAAAGCGAACTTGAGAAATTTAGAAAACATGAGGGGTATTGTGCAAATTTTTAAGAAGTTCTAAGCACCTCAGAAAAGCTAGCTAGATTAAAAATCTATAATCGTAAATTTGGGTAAATTCAAGATAGTTCCTGGGTGTGTTGAAAAACAAATCGTGAATTCTTAAGATGTTCCGTGAATTTTAGGGAAGTACAGAGACCTTCAGAAAATTTATGAAACTTCAGAAATATTTCAGAAACTTCTCAGAAGTCTAATGAATTTCAGAGAAGTTTAAAGGTGTTTACGGGAATTCTATTTACTTCCGAGCAGAACCGAGATCTTCAATAGAACAAAGAGCTTTATGGAAGCTTCGAGAACATCAAAACAGGTCAGATAATCAAAGGACAGTTCAAATAATTTCAATGAAATATTAGAAACCTTAAAGAAGTTTCGAGAAACTCAGTGAATTTCCGAAAACTTCAGCAAAGCTCCGAGAGAATTCCTGGAAATTTTATGAACATCCGGAAAACATGAGAGTATTTTGAGGGTGTTATATCATGGAGATTTCAAGAACTTAAAAAATGCGAAAATTTAGCTAAGTTGATTAGAGAACATCAACGAAGAACTTTTAGCAAGCAGCGATATCGTTAAGAAATTCCAGAGAAGTAAATAGTTTAATGATATCCAGCGAAGTTCCGATTACTTCGAGGACGATCAGATAGCTTCAGAATAATCCCATTAACTTAAGCAAATTTGTCGCGACTTACAATGAGTTCCGTGGAATTATAGGGTATTCCAAGAATTCTATGATTGATCCTAAAACGTCAGAAGCGTCAGGGAATAATGAATATATGTATATCAGAAAATTTGCTGGATTATTAAACAAATTTAGAAAACATCAGGAAAGCATAGATAAGTTCAGGGAATAGCGAGTGTTAATAATGGTTATAATACTTAAGGAACATTTTAGAAACTTCAAGGCAAATTAATTGATTTCAGTAAAGTTGCGGGTTCTTAAAATATACTGATAAATTCAAGGCAGACTAGAGAAACTTTAAAGAAATTCAATAGTCGCTTAGGCACCAGGAAGAAGTTTTAAATTAGTGTCGATAATTTAAGGGAAGTTTTATGAATTTCAGAAAAATCTGGAGAACTTCAGTGAAAATCATAGAACTATATTAATTATTTCGTTCTAATTCCAAGAAAATTGCGAGAGCACAAAAATTCTATAAATTCTCGAAAACTTCGGAAACTTCACAGAAGGACAGTGGTCTTCAGAAACAAAAAAGAATTATTTATGTTTTAAGTTTGTTTCTTACTGAAGATTAATCCACTGTGAATCTTTAAAGTTCAAAGTGTGAATGAAAATAACGAGAAAAATTAAATGTTTGTATTTTGAAATTTATTATTTTCCTTAAAATATCCTCAGTAAGAATTTTTTTAAATTCTTTGAGACTTCCAGAATTTGAGAAAATGATAAAATTCAAACTCCTAGTATTTAATTTTGGTTCCTATCAGTGCACTGTGGTCCAAAACGGCAAAAAGTGGAACTTTATTCCTAGAGCCTAGCCTTTACATTTTAGCCATATAGTGTCTTCAGAAAAAATGTTTGTATAAATATCTTACATAATATAAAACTGTCAAAAATTAGTCATGTCTTACTATGCAAAAAATAAAAACACTAACTTTTTTCTTTGAGGATATAGGGGAACAATGTCTTCAGCAAAGTTGTAGACAATGTAAAAACAAGCAACTTCACTCAATACGTCAAAATTCTAAATCCTGTATTTTCAGAGTTATGGAGCTTTTTCTATGGAAGTTCCCTTAAATTTAGTTTTTTATACTTAACTTCTTTAAATTTCATTTTTCAAGTATACAATGTTCTAGACAATTATTTAAACAATCAAAATACACGTTTTTGCTGAAGACCATGAATCATTATAATTACTCCTTGTAAAGTTATAACAATTTTTATCTTTATTTTTCCATTACTTCATAAGCTTTTAGGAGAGAATGGGGCAAGTGAGGACACAAAACCAACTTTTTTTCTTGAAGCTTAGCTCAAGTACTATAAAGTTGAGAAGGTTTCATTTGTCGCTCCCTTCCCAAATTTGAGTACAATAACCTTATTATTTATGGTTTTTCATATATTTTTCACTTTCTTTTTTAGGTTTTTTATACATAATTTTTTACTCTTTTATATTTGAAGTATATAATGTTCTAAATAATCTTAAAACAGTAAAAACACATGTATTTGTAGAAGACCGTTAGTCTCTAAAATAATGCATTGCAAAGTTATAGCTTATTTTAACTTTATTTTGCTTTATTTTTTGTTTATATGGGAGAATGTGGCAATGGGAACACAACATCATCTAGCCTTCTTGAAGCCCAAGTACCAAAAAGTTATGCAGATTCAACTTCACCCTCTC